AGGGGAATCCGCCTGCAGCTCGCAGCCTGCCGGAGCTGCTCTAAGGTAAGCAGGGGACTAGTATTTTCCCGGATATGTTCGGCTTTTTGGCAATTCCCCCCGGACGGGGATTTGAGGACCAAAAATCCGGACATGTCCAGGAAAATCCGGACGTATACTAACCCTAACCAATTGTAGCCATGGCAGTTTTGCCAACTCTTATGGTTTTATTGCCAAATCTTGTGATGCTTAATATTTTTAACCACCCCAGGTCATAAAACATCAGAATATCTACTTTCATTTAAAAAAAAGATTCTAGCTCTCATGGTTGCAAAGAAAACCTGAATGCTTAAAAACCAGAAAGCAAATAAAAGAGAACCCAAACTTCTTGTTATTAAAAACTGTATATTTTAAGCCAATCTCATGTTTTTGAGGGGCCTGACTCATGATTTTTGAGCAATTGGGGATGCCACTACTGCAAAAGTGGGAATACTAGTGTAGACAAAGTTCCAGCTAATGCCAGCATTTAAACCACCATTTCATATAGATCTGGTGGTAACTGCAGAATTAGAAGATCTGGTGCTTAAAACATCAGATGCTGCAATGGAGCCCTGACTACACTAGAACTGCCACTTCTGGAGCTAAGTTGGTGGTAATAACTTTGGATATTTTTACCAAGAAGCGTAGCATGGCCCACCCCCTAGTGCAAGTAGCTTACATACCTGTTCAGGCCTACACTAAAACTGCAAACAAGGGAGCCATTCGCGATGTCCACTTTGCTGAGGCAGACATTTGATACTTAATAACTAAATATTTCATGTAGGCCACAGAACAGGCAATGGGCCCTGTTTTAAAATTCTGTCAGGATGGATCTGAACTACTGCATTGTATCCTCACATCTAGGTTCAGCTCTAGAGAAATTTAGAATTGTACAGTCCAGCCTGCTTTAAAGGCACACAAAGATTACAGGATCCCAGCTAATTACTGTACCTCCCTCTGTCATAGCTACAGTTCATTTGTGACTCCTCAACTCGTGTTTCCAACTATTTCTCACGATTTTAGCTCCAGGAGTCTTTGAAGGAGCTATTCCAATAATTTGATACACATAAAAGTAAAATTTTACCTTGACAGCAAGAACTAAAAGGCGTTTTCCTCAATAAGGGTAAAAAATATAGTTCTCAAAAACCTGTACCAATATTAAAGGCTAGATTGTGTGAAGTGGGAGGGTTTAGTTGGAAGGTGCAGGGAAGCTCCACCTCCACAGTCTCAGGCCTGTGTACAATAGAACTAGCACAATTTATGCCAATCTTCACTCTGACTACTTTATTTCCAGGTTCCTCCTCCTCTTATCAGCAATTTTCCACCTTTGACTCAGCTCTTTGGAGCAATGACCATCTCTTCCTATATGTTTTTCTAGCACTATCACAATGAGTCCCTAATCTGGATTGGCTGCTACCACAATACAAATATTAATCAACACTCACATAAGAGAAAAACTAAGGGGGATCTGTATTCTGTGTTGGGCTACTAGCACCAGATATGGAACTATTAGCTAACAATGATCATGTGACTGAGGAGTGTGTATTTGGAAACCCCATCCACAGCCAAAACTGCAGAGTGAAATGCCAACCAGTAGTATTTGGTTTGATTTCCACTGCCCTGGTCATGACAGGGTAGATCACTCACACGCCCCACACGGTAGAATTTTGTCCAAAGTAGGGTAGACCTGGAAATATTTACTACAAATTAATGTGTTATTTTCACTATTTATTTTTAAAACTGTGACAAGTAATTTATAAAAAGAACAGGAGTACTTGTGGCACCTTAGAGACTAACAAATTTATTTGAGCATAAACTTTCGTGGGCTACAGCCTACTTCATCGGATGCATGTAGTGGAAAATACAATAGGAAGATAGATATATATACACACACCCACACCCAGAACATGAAACAATGGGTGTTACCATACACACTATAAGGAGAGTGATCAGTTAAATTGAGCTTTTATCAGCAGGAGAGGGAAAAAAACACCTGTTTGTAGTTGTAGTAAGATGAGGCCCTGAAATATAAATTCTTGTGTCAGAGGCCTAGTCTGAGGCCTGAAGCCTGAACCAAAGTACTTCCAGGCACTGCTAAGCAAAAGCTGGGCTGTGAGCCAGAGGCAGGCCCCGCTCACAGAAGTTGGGGAGAAGAAGGTTGTTAGAAGCAGGTGCTTAACATATAAGTGCTAATAAGAGGAACTTGTGCCAAGATGGCACCTGGACAGCCCGATACAAGGACACACCATAGACATAACAAGGAACAGGCAGGTGCATCTTAAAGACAGGACAGCATGATGGATAGATCTGCATGTCTGGAACAACATGATCAAAGGGGAGACAGCACCCCAATGAGCCAAGAGGCTGTACCTCAATACGTCAGCAGGGATGAGTAATTTGTCCTGTAACTGTATAAAAGTAGGTCCCGGAGTGCGTATCTTTGGCCAGCCTAGGGGGCAGTGGAAAGTCCCGCCACTGACTGAGCTGTGTCCATTGCCAGGGGACACATATTCATAGTATGTCCTGTAGAGTCTATAGGAAACTATTACTGTGCTTCGTTTGAAAATAAACCTGGCTCGGGTTCCTTCGTACCTTACTAGAGTCTGTGGCCATTGGGGGTTCTCTCGGGGTCTGCTGCGTCAGCTATCTGTGCAGAGCTGGGGCAGCACACAGAGGGAACACGCACGCAGCTGACTGTTATCATCGAACAAGAGCAGAGCATCACACTGGTAGCTCCCGACAACAGTAGTAGTAATAAAAATGGCCCATTTCCAGCAATTGACAAGGAGATATGAGGAACTGTGGGGAGGCAGAGGGGGGAAATAAGCGTGGGGAATTAGTTTTACTTTGTGTAATGGCCCATCCACTCCCAGTCTTTGTTCAAGCCTAATTTAATGGTGTCCAATTTGCAAATTAATTCCAATTCAGCAGTCTCTCGTTGGAGTCTGTTTCTGAAGTTTTTTTGTTGTAATATTGTGGCTTTTAGGTCTGAAATCGAATGGGTAGGGAGACAGAAGTGTTCTCCAACTGGTTTTTGAATGCTATGATTCTTGACGTCTGATTTGTGTCCATTTATTCTTTTACGTAGAGACAGTCCGGTTTGGCCAATGTACATGGCAGAGGGGCACTGCTGGCACATCTCTCCTGCTGATAAAAGCTCAACTTAACTGATCACACTATAGCGTGTATAGTTACACCCATTGTTTCATGTTGTGTGTGTGTGTGTGTAAATATATATATTCATTCCTACTGTATTTTCCACTACATGCATCCAATGAAGTGGGCTGTAGCCCATGAAAGCTTATGCTCTAATAAATTTGTTAGTCTCTAAGGTGCCACAAGTAGTCTGTACCCGCAAAAAGAACAGGAGTAACACGGCTGCTACTCTGAAACAAGTAATTTATAGCAATTGAAGCAACTTTTAATCTCTGTCATCCCAGTATAAACCTGGAGTATCTCCAAGGTAACTTCATGATAATTTCTCTGGATTTACCCCAGGTAAGAGAAATCACAATCACAACCCATTATTTCTAGGAAAAGCGAAGTGACAACACCCACCTGGAGAAGTTGGCCAGAAAAGTAAATGTGCATAGTCAGCCTCTTTCATGCTAAAGTAAACAGTGCTACACCGTATCAATTTTCAGAGACTAAAGTCTAAACTAATAAAATTGTCACAGAGGTAAAAAAGCATATTATTGGTACTTACTGCAATTTTTGAAAACAAATTACACCAAACTATTAGCAGCTCACTTAAATTTCTGAAATTTTTCTTAGTTTAACCCCCAAAACCTTGCAATTTATACTTTGGAACCTAACAGAAGAGTCAGCCATACACAGGCAGTCACATGCTCAGGCCCCAATCCTGCACGTTGCTCCATGCAGGCAGATACTTGTGTAGAGTCTCACTGAATACTACGTGTCTTTATGCAGATGTGTGTGCGTGTGTGTGTGTGTGCGCGTAGGATGGTGGGGTTTGCCCATGAAGACCAGCTTGGACGATCAGGCCCATTCATTATTACTAATCAAGAAAAAATGGGAACAGTTTAAGAAACAGAGGGGAAACCCCCATACTGTGATGAATCAGCTGTAAAACTGTGCATTAAAATGAGAACAATCAACCTTTGCCACTCCTTTTAAGCCATCATATATACTTTTCTTTAAGAGGAGATCACAATTTTTCTTGTGTCATATTCAGTGCACAGACATTTTCATACTTCAGAGCTATAAGGAATTTGACAAGTAAACCTATTAAAGTTATAACATTTTAATCTTTATGTTTGATAAACACAAACCAAAGTTGTACAGATTGATAATGGTAAACTCAACATTAGTTGAATTTATAGTTATAAATGTCCTTCCAAAACAAATGGATATATAGGTGGATGTATTGTAGAAATATAATAAACTACATGGTTGGGCCTAGATAAGCTGGTGATTTTCAAACATCAGCACCATCTGCATAAAGTTAAAACTTAAATCTGCTCTCCTAAATTCCTGTTCATCCTTCTTATGACACTTTTTCCAAAAAGTGCAGCGAATGGTAGATAAAATAAGTATCTAACAAGGCACGACAGTAGCTCTGATGGAGCTAAAAGGCAGAGATCTAAATTCTAATAAATAAATGAAGTTTAGCAATTATTGCCAGCAATCATGTCAAGCAGGCCATAGGAAACTGTAGCGGTGGGGCTGGAGAAGGGCAAGATTCTGCAAGCCAGAGAAGGCAATGGAACTCATCCAGCTTTGCTTATTTATGGCATGCTGATGAAGGAACAACCTTTCCATATGAGGAACAGCTTTAAAGTTGAACAGTGAAGCCGAAACAGTTTTAGAAAGGAAGAAAACAAACAGAGTACCAAAAACTACAGCTACAAAAACAATGACATTCATTTCAATAATTTTAAAAATCTTTTATGTGCAAAAACAGATGTTAACTTGTCCAACTTTGAGGTAAACAGAAAACTGTACTCATGACAACCACTTTGTTTAGCAGTAAATTTGTTTTATTTAATGGTGCTGTAAATAGGCTTCCACATGTTGCTTCCGAATATTATCATATTGAGTACAAATTCCAAGCAAAAGCACATGTAAAGCAAAGTATATATCTGTAATTAATACTGAACTATTTTCAAATACCCAAAACTTTGTATTTCCTTGCACAGGCTATTATAATCATAAAAACCTGAAATTTATAAAATATGTCTCAACCTTTTTGTTTTAGTGACTGATTATAAGCACTCAAGATGACACTGAGAAGTAGCTTAGAACCATGGTCTCATCTGCCTTTAAACTGATGAAATATGAGGATCTTTTATGCCTCTCTGGCTCTTTTACCCATTGTCAAGGGGCTGAATGAAGAGGAAGTGAGGATCTCATGGCTTGTGAAGAATTCTAATTCTTATTTTAAAAGAAAAATCACCACAGATGCTTTTATATATATATATAGAGAGAGAGAATAGAAAATTAGTATTTGTTGTTTGGTGAAAACCAAAAAAAAAAAAGGGTAAATGTGTGTGCTTGCCCTTCCATCTTGCTGGCTCTGTTGCAGCAGCATTTTGTCAAATATTTTCTTAGGGTTTTTCCAAGAACTGCTCTGACATCACTAATGCTACTCCTGAACAGAAGGAAGAGAATAAAGCTGTATCTATTTAAGCTCCTTTAAAAATACATTGGAAGGAAAGGGGATTTTTTTTGGGGAGGGCGGAATTAATATTTGCAATAAAAAAACATGAGCAGAACAGAAAGGAAGATTTTTTTATTTGCAAGGTTTTGGCTAGATCTTAAAACAAAGGGAGGACAAAAAAATTAAAACCCATGTCCTTTTAAACATGACGGTTGTAACATCTTTAAATTATTATTTAATGAAAACAAAAAGTGAGTGTTACACAATTTCCTTTGATGTGTTTTAACTATATAACTAGCGGAGGAATTATTCTTATATTCTAGAATTTAGTCTCAAAGACACCAGTCTAAAAAGCTTGAATTTGAAAATTAGCAAAGGCTAATTCAGAAGTGTCCTTCTCAATGAAAACATACTAATTCAGGAAAGAATACTTCTTAGTGTAAATACACTGTACTAAATGAAATATACTCCTTGTTTGAAAAGAAACACTCAACTTTAAAAGTATTCCTTTCTACATGTTCTGCACATGTTTACTTCATCTATTCAGTAAGAGTACATGTGAAAGTACAATATGGATACACGTTAGCATCAGAGTATGAAGAGTTTTTATATCTACAGGCAGTAGAGATTTACAAGTCATCAAAACCACCCACCAGAACATAAAATAAAGTATTTCAGAACTAGTTTGGCATATGAAAATAGTATTTTTCTGATAAAAGTTAAAGTAATGAAACCACCAAGCATTTGAATCAATGGGAATTTGGGGGGAAGTTGTCAAATTCTACAGGGACTTTTCCCCCTCCTCAAACAATGCCGTTTCTGTGAGATTTTTCCTTTTTGTTTTCTATTTTATTTGGCTCCAGTCTCATACTTGAACACCAAACAGCGTTATAGGATAAGGAATGTCATTCAAAAGTTATCGGCTTATCAAACTTTTAATGATGTTACAGAAAACACAGAAAAATCATGTAATATCTTCCAGGATCTCACTATGAGAATCCAACACTTTTTAGACCCTATCTTCCTATGTTCCCATAACCAGGCTAAAGTCTTGGACTTTTCAGAGTTTTAGCAAAGTAGTATGTGCCTACCTCAGACTTTCTATGCATAATTCTTCCATGACTGCACTACCACAGGTACAGCTCGACAGATGGTAGAAATGGAGGAAGCAATAGGGTAAAAGGAGCACCAGCATTTTTATCATTGTCATTTTACCTCCTTTGAGCACTGTTAGACAACATAGTACCTAAGCCATCTACATTAGTGTCTCCAAAAGAGTCTAGGTGTAAACAAGGTTTTAGCTCATAGTAGCATAAACACAACTTTTAGGCAGTGTCTACATTGGCTGGCCAAACAATATGGGAACCCCATTTGGTCCCAACAGACTTTAAACAAGGCTTATAACCTTGATTGTTAGTGCAGAAGGAATCAAAGAGCCAGCAGTGTGAAGAATATCAAACTTTTTTTTTTTTTAAGTAAAGCTTAAGTTCTGAAGACTTCTAAAGAAATCCATACTCCTTGGAGTTCATTAATACTTTTTCTTGTGGTTTTCTATTGTCCCAGTGTACAACTGTGCTCCATATCTATAAGCATAAAAAATCATGGACATTAAATCTTAACATGCACCCAGAAAACTGCATGCATATATACATTTCCCATAAAATCTGGAGGCACTGTTAAGACTGAAAGTTATATTTTCAATCTGGTTTGTCATTCTGTACAAGAAGAACATTTGTACGCCATTACTTTACAAAGGGCAACATTAATGTCTCTGAGTACAACAGAATATAATATCCGTTCCTCCCTTTTTCTTCTTAATTTCAACCTCTAACATTTCTGCATACTTGTTTCTGTGAAGGTCCTTGTGCATCAATATTAAGTATGGCATTATATAACAGGCTTGTGTGTATGTATATATATCTGAAAAGGCCTACGGTGAGAATTAAGAGTTTTGTATTCAGCAAACAAACCTAAACTACATGTAAAACCACTGCAACTGATCACCAAAGAGAATGAGTGAATTAATTGTAAATTTTTGTTACATTGCAAATCAGACACAAATAAATCAATAACCTTGGAAACGGAATACTTTTCTAGCTGAATTTTGCCACTGCTTCATTTTTCAGCGTTATTAGAAAGTTCAATAACTCCCTGTTTGGAGAATGAATTAAAAATAGTCCAAAGAACAGAGGGGTCTTCACAATGATGATGATTCTGCCAATGACTGAAAAGCCCCTCTTTTCTTCCAAATACTTGCTTGCATAAAATGCAGTTATAATCAGCTTTACACCAAATTTGAATTTTTTTATTTTCTGTGGCACAACCAAAATTTTGCAACTCCTTTCCTGGTTCACTGTTACCTGATGGAATAACCTCACTTTTAGTTAAAGTATCAAAATTATTTTGATGAAGATATATTTGCCTTTTCAGTTTTGGAAAAGCATAGAACTCCTCCTCACAAGTGCCATGTTTGATTGGATTTCGTCTCTCTTTGCGCTGCTTCCAGAAATGAGCTGCATGTTTGATCAGTTCTTCCTGAGCTCCCTTGCCTCCCTGTAGAATTCCTTCTTTTATTCTTCCTGGGAGCTCCTCGCCATGAAAACACAACAAATGAAACTTCATCTCAGCAAAAGACTGTGCAGTAAACTGGCATCTGGCACATTTGATCTGTAATTTGACTTCTGTTTGACTCTGAAATAAATCTTCAAAATTGCATTTATTTCCCCTAAAACAGGAAGAAAAAAAAGGAATATGTATGCTATTTCAATACTAGACATGTTTGGAATTAGAATGGAAATTTCTAATCTTCTAAATTTTAAGAAGTGGAAAAGGAGGAGGAATTTATGGAACATTATATTTACTTTATTAAAACCAGACATTTTTACTGCACCAAAAAATTTAAAATTCTGCACACAATATTTTAAAATTCTGCAAATTTTATTTCTCAAATAAATGTGGAGGCTCCAGCATGGCATTGGTGAGCACAGGCCACTGGCTGCACAGAAGTGGGAGATCACTGTGCAGTCCACCCCTCCCTGGCGACACTGACTCAGCAGTCAGGCTGCACCGAACTCTGACACAGTGCAAGGTCCCGGCCTGCCCCTCTGTATGGGCAGGCAGGCTCAGCAAGGCAGGATCCAAATGTGGGGGAGCTTACTGTGGGAGGAACCAGGTGTGGGTTAAGAGGGTTCTGTGTGGGGCAATCTGGGTGCAGGTGGCTCAGTGGGAATCCAGGTGCAATCTGGATGCACAGGAGCTTGTTGTGGGTTCTGGGTGCAACAGTAATGGGACTCTGCAAGTGGATCCAGATGAAGGTGGCTGGGGCTCAGGGGGGGGGGGGGGAGGGAGGGGAGACGGAGGG